CGTACTTATGTGAAATCATAATTGAATACTTGGATAACAATTTTTGAATATATTAAATGGTGATAATTTTCATTTTATCAATATAACTTAATCATTGTAAAGTTATCCAAGCGCAAGTTTGGAACTAGTACTGATACTATTGTTAAAGGGTTTTTAGAGTATCTCGGTCATGGTAGCCGAGTGGTTAGCATTGCGTTCTGACATTCGGAAAGCCCAGGTTCATATTCCGGTGCCAGAAATATCTAAAATGTATGGAAAATTAATTTTAATAAAAAATTAAGTTAAATTTTCTAATTGCGTTTTGAACATGAAAAAACCATCAGCCTTACGGAGGCGGCTTAGTATAAACTGCAGATCCCTCCATAATATAAGATTTACAACTTTGCTTCCGCCGTTTTTTTCCCAAAATTAAAAGCTTTATTGCGTGAAAGTGCTTACAGATATATTATTCAAAGTATTGTCCTTCGCTAGCGACAACTTTCTCCCATCTTTCCGGCAATTTTCGGATCCCGGGAGTCCTCTTTTGGCGCTATCCATGAAGCAATCCATTTTTCCACTTCTTCGAAGGATTGAAAATGTTGATCTGCCAGGCCGTGTACCATCGAACGGAATAGGTGGAAGTCGGAATGGGCGACATCTGGGGAATACGGCGGGTGGGGCAAAACTTCCCATTTCAGCGTTTCCAGGTACTTTTTGACCACTTTTGCGACGTGAGGCCGAGCATTGTCGTGTTGGAGGATGACTTTGTCATGTCGTTATTGATATTGAATCATCCCCAGGGCCTTGAGACGTTTTGAAACGGCTTGCTGACTCACTCCCAACGATTCGGCAAGCAGTTCTTGGGCTTGGCACGAATTTTCATCAAGCAATGCTTCTAGTTGTTCATATTTGAAGGTTTTTTTCTCCTCCACCACAAAGTTTGTCTTCGACATCGAAATCACTATTTTTAAAACGTTGAAACCACTCCCGACACGTTCTTTCACTCAGAGCAGCATCACCGTAAGTTTCTGAGACCATTCGATGCGCTTCAACTGTATTTTTTTTTTTGGAATTGTAACAGAAAAGTAAAACTTCCCGTAAATTGCGAGAATTAGGCACATAAACGGACATTTTCGAGCGTGAATAATACGAAAACAAGAACAACTGTCCCTGAAACGGCGATGACAATTCGTTTGGCACTGTCCACACTCATTTTAAAGGCATTAGAATCTATGTATTTCCACCAGCCTCAGTCGGTACAGTCACCTATCGGAAAACGGCGGAGGCAAAGTTGTACACCTGATAATAAATTTAATATTTTTAATAGCAATAGTTATTAACGAGCAATGAAAGAAAAGAAGAAATGAAATATGACAAATAAATTATTCTCTAATCCGTTCCTACATATATTCTCTCCTTATCATCCTCATGTAACACAGGCTAACACTCTCGTACAATAAGAGAAAGACAGAAAGAAATTATACGGAGTTAATCACTCTTTCATATGGATCTTGTATCTTTGCTCAGGACTTATTGTAGGAGCTTATCCCCGTTAAACGTGCTTAAAGAAGATAAACTTTAGAAATTCATTTGCCTGTTTTACAAACTTGGACATTGACATCCTACAAGTTTAGTTAATAACACTTTTGTATCTGCAGATGATGACCGTTTTTTGGTTTAAAAGTACAAACATAACTGTCAAAAAAATTTGTCCAGCCTTGGTTCGCAGTCAGGCAACCTAAATCCTCGCCTCGCCACCTAAAACAGTGCGACTGTAATGAAAAGAACCGAAGAACCGAATGTGTCGATTTTTCGTCGTTCTTAAGAGCTAGGACTTTATTACGGAACATTCCGTAACTTTTTGCACTTGGACTTATACTTACAACCATATTATACCAGGTCATATAACATCTGTTCCAAAAATCCTCTAATAATTGAAAATAAGCCAATACACCAAAAAACTCAGTGCTTGGAGTACTCTAAACTCAATTCGGAGGGTTATGGCCGTATGAAAGCCGACTTTTTTGGTGAACACGACTTGGACCTTATGCGAATCGTCGGTTGTTTCAGCAATATCGTACGACGTGCCACTCAACACAAACGAATATGGCTTTAGTGCGACAAAATTTTTCAGACCGCGTAATCTATCGTCTTGGCGATCTGAATTGGTCACCAAACTCTTGCGGTTTTACAACCTGGAACTTTTTCTGGGGGCTACGCGAAACCGTGTGAAAAGGCACACATAGAATTGGGGGCTAGGCCAATAATTTCTTCTTCAGCAGTTAGAAAGCGCTACCCTGCAACACTTTGCAGTCGCACATACTAATTGAAGGAATGAAAAATTAATAATGGAATATCTTTTCATCATAACTTTATTCACTCAATTCTTGTGGGAACATTTTTGTTTTTACCATTGTCATTGGTGCATTTCACGGAGAGGGGAATAATCCGACTTTTGAAAAGGGAAGTAATTCGATCCATAAATAAGATTTTTTTCGAATAGGTCAGTCCCTGCACAGTTCCCAGGTATCATAGAAGCAATCTGACGAAATTTTAAATCATTCGATCGGTCCCTTTTGGAGAATTTTCGAAATTACTGGATTTTTCCACTCGAACATAAGATTTTTTTAAGATAAAAAAGTACTGTTTTTAAAGGTTCTCCCTCAATAATTCGAATTTTTCTCACTTTTTAAACCTTGTCTTGAGCATTTATGTATAACTGATTAAACTTTACGTTCTTTCAAAAATTTCTTCAAAGTGCGTTTATATTTTATGAACGTTTCAAGACCGGGCCAGACTCTTGTAGGACACAAAAAGTGTTCTAGTAGCTGATGCCCAGAGTACTCTGAATATTGAGGGAAAACATCTTCAGCTTGCTGAAGAGCAGTATAAATCTAATACAGGCAGATATTTCATTATCCGACTATGAAGAAACGACGTGGCTGATGAATATTATTCACAAGCCGGTGGCATTCACATAGTTCAGAGAATAATGAAGCAGCGGCTACGCTGGCTAGGTCATTTAGTCCGTATGGATAAGAATGTTCCAGCTCTGAAAACTTTCGATGCAGTACCCGCCGAACTGAGGAAGAGGAAGAGGAAGACAGTCAATGTGTTGAAAAGTCCAGGAGCGTAGATCCTTGCTGTACTTGCTGTTATTTCCAACTGACGCCCCACAACGATAAGAAGAAATTAGGCCCGCAATATTATTTATTCGTTTAAAATCGCGTAAGCTGTCTCTACGCCTGCAAAGGACAAAATGCGAAATCCGGTTGAGTTTGCAATCAAATTTTATCCCCAGGTTTCGGTTAGGGTGGCTAAAAAGGAGATGGTTTTTGCAGTCTTTCAAAAAGGAGAATTTCAGTTTTTGCTGGCTTGACATCCAGTCTGTTGTCCGCGTTTGTGGTAGATCACTTACGGCTTATGGGTGTTTTCTTGTCGGCTTAAGGCCAATGTTGTCATCGGATGCCATCAGACAGTTTATTTAGTTAGTTTTCTATTTAACGTATTTGCCGTGGGACATCACACCAGCGGGAATTAAAGTTTACCTTGAAGGATGCCTCTTGTTGTTCTCAATGAGAGTTACTTACCTAATATTTTTTTATTTACCTCGTTTCCAATAAAAATTTGTGTAGAGGCGTCAAAAACATGTTCTGTTTGCTTTGATGCTTAAAATAACGGATTAAATTGTGAACACAGAGACTCGTGTTCAAAACTCATATTGAAAATTTTCCATCCTATCACTTGTCACTAAATGTTTTTAACTATTTATTAAATTTTCCTTTAGATTTAACAACTTACTTTTAAGCCCCACAAATTACGTAAAAAAATATGTTCCGGTATGGGGCTTATTTGATGTATATCTCATTGCACATTTCCGCTTAAATTTATCAATATTTGAAGTAGTAATTAAAAAATGAAAAAAAAAATTACACTTATTGTGTACCGTTATGTTAAACGCTTATGTTTAAAACCGAAAAAAGAACACGTTCTTATAATCTGGAGTATGTGCGAGTATGTTAGCGTTGCATATCCGCTGCTCCCATAAATTTAAGCTTACAATGTATTCAAGTACCATTACACGCGCGCACACATATGAACATATGAACATATTAGCACTCGCATTAAGTGTTCGGGTATGTGCGTACACATGAGTGTCAAGCGAGAAGCGTAAATCCGTTGGCTAATTGTTTCCGCAATGAAACGTGCATAAAATCCTTTAATGTTGGCATAAAAAACAAATATACCAGCACACAAACATATACACACATAATCGCGCAAATGTATGTGAGTTCAGGGAATATTTGCATGGATGTGTATGCGTGTATGCTGTAATGCATATGTATGTACGTTGATCGTAACATATCCATAATTCATTTTTCATTTGCTGACACACAAAATGGGCACATACGCACATACTGTACGTATGTATTCAACCAAATTCATATATTTAAACACTTGAATTTATATGTATAAGAAAAGGGATGCCGCAGCAAAATTAAATATTTTCAGCCACCGTTTTTTTAATTTAACAAAATATTTTAGAAAAATAATTTAATAATATCAAATGAGTTTATAATCCCTTTAAACAAACTTAGGCTAATTATTAAGCCTGCCTTGCATTCTTTAAGAATACTTTTTCCTAAAGGGCTCATAGCCACAAAGTACTATATGTATGGTAGAGTGTATGGATGTTAGTAATATATACAAATGCATATATTCATAAGGACACATTCATAAATGAAAATCCTTTCATATGTTGACGACTTTAAATCCACATACAACAATGCACAAACAGTTCTTCATACATACGCATAAGCACTTATTATTTAACATAATTCTGGCCAGTGAATTCGACCACAATAATGGAAGCAGCAAAAGAATTCGCCCGACATATTTTTGCTGGTACTTACTGCTGTGTCAGTATGTCAATTTATTTATTGTTTCAATGGCTCTATCGACATTGAGTTATTCTTGAAATTAATTTCATTTCATATACTTCTTTCGATTCTCTTACGCAGGTAAACCGGTTTCATGGATGATGATTTCCCCTTCGGTAACACCACGCAAACTTAATGTAGGCTCCAATAATCCGGCAATGCGTCTTTACAAGTTTGACACTGATTCAGGACAGGTATGTAGATTAATTTAAAAAATTTAAAAAAATAAATAAAAAAGATAATCACAAAAACAATGTTTTTGTCCTTTCGAGAGTAACAAAAACTTATAAAGTAATATAAATATTTCGGATTGAAAAGTATCTTTTGATTATAAAGAACAATGCACGAGAGCGGCATTATTTCTTTATTTTTTTTGTTTTTTTATTTTTTTTTTTAATTTTCTTTACTTAATTTTTTAAATTTTTTTTTATTACTTTTTTTTTTGTTTCAAATAATTTAATTTATTTTTGAATTTTCTCTTTTTTTATTTATTTTATTTTATCTTAATTATGTTTTTGCTTATTTTATTCGAATTATTTTACTTCCTATATTTTTTGTTTTTTTTTTTTTCATTTTGTTATTTTTTCTTTACTTTATTTAATTTTATGCTATGTCACGTTACTTTATTTTATTTGATTTGATTATTTTGTTATTTTATTTTTTTTATTGTATTTTGTTTAAATTTATTTTATTCCAATTTAGTTTATTTTCTTTTATTTTTGTATATTTTAGTTTAAATATTTTTTTTATTTTATTTAATTGTCTTCTTATTTACTTTACGTAGTTATATCTATTTTTTGTTTTATTTTATTTTAGTTTATTTTATTTTTTCCGTTTTGTTTTTTTTTTATTTATTTTATTTCACTTTATTTTCTGTTATTTTACTCTATTTTAACTTGTTGCATTTGATTTTATTTTGTGATATGTTTTTTATTTTCTTTTAATTTTTTTTGTAATTTATTTTATTTAAATTAATTTTTATATAATTTTATTTTGTTTTACTTTATTTAATTTAATATGAAAATTTTGATTTTGTTTAACTTTAGTTCGTTTAATAATTTTATTTTATTTTGTTTCATTTTATTTTGTTTTACTTTGTTTTAATTTATTTTATTTTACTGAATTTTGTTTTATTTATTTCGCTTATATTTATTATACATTTTTTTACTTATTATATTTTGTTGTATGTTATTTTGTTTTATTTAATTTTATTTTGTGATATATTATTATGTTTTATTTTATGTTTTCCTTTTTTATTTTTTATCTTATTTCCTTTGTTTCGTTAGGCTCTAATTTATTTAATTTAATTCTTTTTATTTAATTTTTTTTTTTAATTTTCTTGAATTAATTTTTTTAATTTATTTTTTAATACAATACTTAATTTTTTATTTTCCGTTTATTTATTTATATTATGTTTATTCTGTTTTCTAAATATAATTTTATTATATATTTAATGTTTATTTACTTTATTTTGTTGTATTTGATTTCATTTTTTAATTTAATTTTTTATGTGCTAATTTTTCTTATTAATTTTTTTATTTCATTTTTATTTGTTTTTAATTTAATTGTATTTTATTTTTTATTTTATTTTTATATTTTATTTTATGTTATTCTTAATTTCTTTTTCTTCATTTTATTTACTTTTTTTTTATTTTAATCTTTTTTGTTTGTGTTATTTGTTTTTATTTTTGTTTATTAAATTTTATTTACTTAAATATTTATATTTGGTTGTTTTAATAAATATTTGTAATATTTGATTTTCGTAACAGCGGTGTAAATATGTATGTGTGTTTATATCTCAATGGATACTGTTTTCCATGTATTTATGTACGTAAGCCTATTTGTTGTGTTTTCTATTTACTTTTGTACGTATTTATGTGTGTTGTTTTAGATTTTTGTGGCCTACATTTTCGGTTATTCAATGTCCTATTGATTTATAGCTTTCTTTTGTTGCTCAGTTTACAAATCGACCTTTTTGTTATTCCGAAGGAAGCTTGCACAAATCAAATTTATAAATACGAGTACGTGTTGTCATATATACGTGTACATGTGGTATATAGGAAAAAGTGGTAATCCTGTATATGCCAGGCACGTTCTATTTTTTCTATTTTATTATTTTTGAAGAAAAATGCTGCCAGCTTTAAAGTCTGTATTGCGTGCTTAGATTTGACACTCATATTGTTCCACTCGAGGTTCCCAAAAAGTTACCAACAGTTAGACCACTGAGGATTCCAGCAAATATTTTCGCTTGTAATATGAATTTATTATTCCTATTCCGCTCACAGTACCTAGCTCAATGCTGGTCTCTCTATATCGTGTCCTGATTCAGCAATTGCAATGTTGCAAAATGTGTTACAAAATTTAGTTTATACAGCTGCAAACTTACTTCTTCTATTCGGTTGGCACATCCGTTTGGCGAGTAGCGGCGCTTGTGCGTTCCACATACATTTTCATATGCAAATGACTGCCCACATACCAACGTGCAAACCTTCCTGTTCGACTTTCAGAAATAGTCTCGGCTGCCATTTGTTCAACGCGTTACAAATTTATGCCACTTTCGAGCGCTAGCAAAGTTATGCACATTTTAACTCTTTCCTTCTCTTACACCGTTACATCATCATCTATGCCACCAATTCTGTGGCAACTATGTTTCTAGTTGAGTGCCGCGTTGCGTTGCCGTTTTTATGATAGACAATTTTCCAATGCAAGCAACTCGACAAACAAACAATTTTAGTGGATAATAATTTACACGCACTCGCATTAAGGTTGGCAAGACAAATATGACTAACAGTAGAAGTTCTAAGCCGTTTTGAAAATGAATGTCTTAATAGCTGAAGGAAAAGCCCAAATGTTAATCTATTAAAAATTTATACATGCGATTAAAAAAAAGTGAAATTTATTTGTATGTGAAAAAGCTGTCAATAAATAGTCATAAAAAATTTATCCTTAATTATTGCGAATGGATATTTTTCAAACGGCCTTGCGCACCCTAATATGCTAAAGCCACACACATGCGGAAAAACTTTAGAAACAATTTCATAGATAATGATGGTAGAGGCCACATAATCTCACAAAAATTACCAAATCGTCCGGTTATATTGATTACCTTTTGAAATACTTACAAATACATACATATGCACCAATATATATTACAGCAATCGCGTTATAAAATATATCTGTCAATTATTTAACTTTAGTTTTCATCTAAAACTTTTTCTCATCACGAAAGTGACTTGAAATACATTGCGTGCCTGCCCCTATTCTTATTCTTTTTAGTAGTGCGGTATATGTATTTATATACACATGTGTGTATAATCTAACTACCAAAACATTGTTCTTTTTTTATTGTATGAATTTCAAAAATGCTCCTCTCTTTTCCAATTTTCTAACCCATTTTATTTTTTCTTGGCATGACTTCCGCGTATAATTACAGGTTTTGGACTACACGCAGTACTTCATGGACTTACAGTTGGCGAATCAGGTGGGCGAGCCCAACTGGCTTCCGGAATACAATCTTACACATTACTATGCACTCAGTGATATATCGGCGATATCCTTGCACAATTTCGTGGATCGTTTTACTAGCGGTGACGGCTCTTGGTTCGGCAAGTAAGTACAAGTATGGAATATGGGATATTATGGATATATTATACATATACATATTCTATTTAATAAGACTAATATTTTTCTTTATAATCAAGCGATAAACTTAGTTATTACTTTCGCCTTTGATTCAGTAAGTTAAAGAAAAAAATAAAATAAAATAACATAAAAAAGATACAAAAAATTAATTACAATAAAATAAAAAAAGTAAAATGAAATAAAATAAATTAAAACAAAATAAATAAAAAAAAATTAAAAAAAAAAACATATAATAAAATAAAATAATTCAAAACAACTTAATATATAGTTAAGTAAAATAAAAACAAATGAAATTAAGAAACATAATATAAAATAAAATACAAATTAAATAAGATATAAAAATAAATAACAATAAAATAAAACAAAAATAAAAATAAAAAAAAGCAAAAAAAGAAAAAACAAAAAAATAATAAAAAAAGTATATAATAATATAAATAAAAATAAAATAAAAAATATACATTAAATTAATAAAAATAAATGAGATGGAATTAAATAAAAGTAAATAAAATAAAAACAATAAAAATAAAGTAAGATATAATAATAAATTGCAATAAAATAAAACAAAGTAACATGAGAAAAGTTGGAATTTAATAAAATAAATTGAAACAAAATAAACTAAATTAAATCAAAAATAACAAAATAAAATAAAATAAAATTTAATGAAATTAAATAAAATAAGAACAAAATAGCATAAAATAAAGATAAATGAATTTAATAAAAATTAATTAAAAAAGTAAAAAGTAAAAGGAAAAAGTAAATTAAAATGAAATAAAATAACTAGAAAATAAAAAAATTAAAATAAAAAAATAATATTAAATAAAATAAGGAAATGAAATAAAAAAATAATATAAAGTGAAACACGGAAAAATAAAATAAACGAAAATAAAAAATTAAGTAAAATAAAAGAAATTAAAGAAAAAGAAAATGAAGTAAAATACAATAAATAAAGTAAAATAAAATAAATAAAAATAAAATAATTTAATTAAAATAAAATAAATTTATAGAAAAGAAAAAAAAGAACTGCATTCAGTTGCAATTATTATAAACCTCAAATTTTTGCTATATTTAAGATATCAATTTTTCGACACTTTGCTAAAGGATGGCATTGAAATTTTCTTCTATTGTCCTTCACCACTGTCGTTGCCTGCGCCAACCGAAAGTCACACAAAATCAATTCTACTTTTTATGCCAACCGCTTTTCTTTCCATTGAATGATTGTTTGTTTTTGCTTTTGCTTACAACTAACAAAAATGCATTGTTTTGATGTATTTGGCTGCAGGCATAATAACATCAACATCAAAAAATAACCAAAAACAACAACAATCGGAGCATCAGCAAGTCAATCGTAATAGTGCATAAAAAAGCAACAACATATTGCAAGCAACGGCAATTTTCCATTTGCTCGAAGCAGGTGAAAGCGAATATTGCTGTTCCGCTATGGAGGGGGCAAAGAAAGCGGCGTGGAATGAACACAAAAAGCCAATTGACTGAAAGTAAAAAAAAAAAAAAACAATTTTATTTTTTTCTGCTTCCTCAGCCTTTGCTTTGTTTATACGCCACGGCATGGTAGTCATCCGTTGTAACGGTATTACGCCTCTCCATTCCACGCTTGCACTTCATGGCACAACTGCTGTTTCTCGCCTTTGGCTAGCGATTGGCGCAATAAGAATGTTGGGGCATTATTGTTGTTGTTGGGGCTGTTGCTACAAAGTGCAAAGCAAAGCGACTAAGCGACCGAAGCCGCCATTAGCGAGGTTTCGCAGTTGTTGTTGTAGGGTTTGTTAGGTTTTGCTGTAGTTGTAGCTCGCATCAACACAATTCAACTCTACTCGGCTCGACATGTCGTTGCCGTTTCATTTCACTCCGCTCACCACCGCCCCACTCCTCCGGCGCAAATGCATTTACATCTAAATACAAAGATACATATATACATACGTACATATGTGACTATGCGTGTGTATATGTATATGGGCGTGTGTGTGTGTGTGTGTGTGGGTTTGTTGCAAAACGTTGTTATACCCGCTTGTTTATTTGCCTTTTGCAGTTTTTTTTGTTTTACTGTTGTTTGTTGTTGTTGTCGTTGGGTTCATTGTTGATTGTCTTGATTGTTTTTATGCAAATTTATGCATATTAAATTCTGTTGTATGTTGATTTGTTATCACTACGTAACGCTACCTACACATTAAAATTGTACTTACATATGTTTGTATATTGCTGTGTGTATATTTGTATGTGTGTTATATGATCTTAATGCAAATGTGTGAGTGTGTGTGTATCTCCGAATGTATTGTCCACAAGATTTCGCCTTTGGCATATGATTATTTCCATCTTTGGGTATGGGGTATGAGCTTGAATGTCTGTAAAGCTGGTGACATGTTTGTTTATATATTTAGACGTTTGTCCTTGTTAGATTGGGCCCTGCGGTCATATGTTGCATTTGCAAGAGTGTATGTATCCATGTGTTTTCGTAAATATTTAAAACTTCCACGAAGCGTTTAAACTCACAATATGAGATATCTTCCATGGAAAACGTTATTGTCACATAAAAATGTTCTCTCTGTCATAATCTGTTCTTCCCAAGGCTTCAGCGAAACTTTTAGTTACAGTCGATAAATTTGGTGACAAAATATATATCTTGTTTTCCGTGGGGCAAAAGGATCACCGCTCTTTATTAGCTGGAGTACGTCAATTTCGTGATATCTCATGTTGTATACCATGGAAGCGACCAACTTTCGAAGTAAATCAGTAAATATTGTAACAAAATATATGTCTCGCTTTCCATGGGACAACATGTCTACGCCTCCCAATTCACTGGAGTACGTCAGATTCATAGAATTTCTCATGCAGCTTATCGATCCATTGCCTTTGGTATTTTCCGTTTCCACCATATGAATAATTTCCAAGAATGTATAACTGGTATCTATATTGGTCTAAATTTCTACAAACTCACAGTTAAAGACTCACCCCATAATAATTGGCTCGGGCACTCATTGACTATCTGGTCTTACTGCAGCGTATTGATATCGAACCTTCCTCGGTTCCTCGGCCCGTAGCTAAAGCTGGAGGCATGTCCTCCGTCTATAACCGTATTACCGTTTTAGTTTGGAATGCCTTAGTTCCATGAGAAATATTTGTGTTTTTGAAATTTTTTGCCTGCAGTCTATTCGTATTGGAAAACGGATTTCGCTCTCAGGTAAGGACAATTAGCCTCTTGCCGTGCAAATTGTATTTTCGACCGTCGTAAGGGAGGCGACAGCGCTCAAAGAAGTGTTCGAAACGGTGAAAGAAGGCACTTTTGATTACTTCATTCTTTTTTGTATATATCACATTAGATCAAGTCTTAAATAGCTTGTTATTTCTGCAATCAATTGAAGGTTTTATTATCATAGAAACCTTCTATTGACAAAAAATGGGTACAATTGGTTTTCATAGGCTTCTCTTGAGGCCATTCCTTCACCAAATAATTTTTTCATAAACGAAAACCGATTGCGCGATGCCCCCATTATAAGGTGAATCCATAATAATTTCCCCACCAAGTTGTCAGAGCCTTCAATCTAAGTGGTCTGGCGAAATTCTGATGAAGTATAATCAAGCTCCTGTTGACTCTAGCTGGGCGCTTCTTGGCGATACCTTTATTCAGATTATCTTATTGCCGACAATACGGCCCAAAAATTAAGAGTTTGCTGGGAAGCATGTGTTTTAACTCCACCAAACACACAACAAAACCTTCCTGGCTTAAATAGCACTTGTGCCGGCTCAATTTCCTTCAATCACGATCGTTTTCATTTAACTTTACTGTAATTGATCCTTGCCTCATCACCAGTCGCTATCCGAAATTAGTCCACGTTGTCACTACTATTTAGCAATTGGAAATTCCGTGCATGAGGTTTTTTCTTATTAAATCATGTGGCACCCATACATCGAACTTCTTTGTGTATCCAGCCTTTTTAAGTGGGTTCAAACTAATTTGAGTTTAATGGTCCATTTTCGACACTTGGGTTTCCACACTGTGGAACATCTTTCACATTAAAAAATTACTGGAACGACGTGGACGAAACCAAAATTCTGCATGATTGGCTGTTGAAGATTTACGACTGTTCACATTTTTCAGCTGCCTGACTTGTATTTTCGCCTTTATGGAAGAAAAAGTGTAGAATATAGCGTGTTTTCTATTTGTTGGTGTACCTCTTTGACATGCGCTCAAGCACAACTTCACTCGTTATCTTATTTAGTACGAAACGCAATCTCTCTATAACCAGCTAGCATTATCTAAAGGCTTCTATAGAGTAGAATGGATATCACCGAAGTAAAAGTAATTTTTTTTTACTGAACCTTGTATATAAAACGGAAAGCACGGGTTGAAATCCCCGTGCGACTAACATCGAAAAAAAAATTAATTTAAATAAAAAATTGAGGTAAATTTTCTAATTGCGGTCGCCCCACGGCAGGGAATATCAATGTCAAGTGTATTTCTGTCATGAGATAAAAAGGTCCTCACAAAAATACGTCAGCCGTATAATATACAAAACTCTTATTCGACTCGGATTGTTCACTGAAAATTTGTTTACGACAAGTCCAACACCAAATTTACGCTCTACAATGAGCCAAGGATGTCATAAGCACCTACTATTTTTTATTCATTGTCGTTGCCTCCACGACACTATCGCGTAGATTGAGAGCGGTTTCGTCCTCAAAGCGCGGGTAGTGAATATCTTGAAATTTCTTTTAATAAACACAGAAATCATTGCTTGGCTAGTGGGTGCATCAATTACCATATATGCCATTAGAGGCACCCCACAGGTGGAAGTTCTCTTCATCTTCTAGGGCGGCTTACAGCGAATGTGTTGCCTCGCAAGCCAATACATACGGGTTGCTACAAAATGGCTTACTCTGATGACATTGCCCTCGCACTTACTGAAAAACACCTCCAGGTCCTAAGCGATCTGCTTGAGAATGCCTTTCACGCAGTAAGCAGCTGAAGCAGTGATTGCGGTCTGGATGTAAATCCCTCAAATATCGAAGAGCAACTTTCCACTATAAAGTACAAACCATTTCCCTTCAAGCCAAACTTACTCAAAGACACCGAAATCGCTTTCTCGACTGAGCTTAAATACCTAAGCACGATTTTAGATAGCAAACTCATCTGGAACCTGAACAAGGTTGAAAGGTTGAAATCTTCAACTGCAATATATGCCTGTCAGACCGCGATCGGCAAAAGATGGGGACTCAGACCACATATGGTGTAATGGCTGTAAAAAGGTTTTATAAGACCCAGTGTCTGGTGGGCAGCTCTTCATAAGGAAACTTAAAAGACCAAGTTAGAAAAAGTGCAGCGGGCCTCCAAGCTTATTGCGGATGCGCTACTCTCAACTCCTATGAAAGCTTTTGCATTTTTTCTTAATTTGTCGACGTATGCGGGAAGCTCCTTGCGAGCTGCGACGCCATAAGAATGAATGCAACTCAAACATGGAAAAACCCCACAGAACAAACATTAAACTCTACATCATTCCCGAATTAGGTGGACTAGACCAATTCTGTATTCTGTTTCGACAATACTTTCTCAAAACAAACCCAGAGAGTAACGAGTGGGAGAATTCCGTCGTCGTTTTTAACTTAATGGCAAAGTAAGTTGCGGAGTTTACTCCGATCACTGCAGCGTATTCCAAACTCTCGAAGGTGTATGTGAAACGGTCCGACATACTAGCAAGAGAAAGAAAAGTCCTAGTTACTATCAACTCTGCAAGCCGTTCCTGTTCGACCTCCATAAGCATAACAACCGGCATAACAACCGAGCACTGTCTCATGGGGACTCAGGGTGGAAGGACTGTTTCTAAAACAGCCGCAGCTGTATGGAGATAAATTAAAAGGAATCGATGGAGCACTATCTCTGTCACTGCCCAGCTCTGCGTGCGGTCCAATATCTTTTCTTGAAAATTTCGTTTTCAATTGGTTTTATTATTTGGTGGTAAACGGAATCTCTTTATTAAGACCAACATATCAATCGCAATGGGCCAATAGGGCTAAGTGTACTTGATCAGGGTATCGTGATCAAGCAACCTGTTAAACTAACTAACTAACTACTCTCTTCTCTTATTGCCTCGTTTATCGCATATTCCTTACGTCGATGATGTCTTAATACTTTGAAGGATATCAATCAACTGTGTAGCGGATCTAATGCTTAATATGCTTGTGATACTCTCTTTTTGGAGTTGTACATATATTTATTTTTGTAGTGAGTTGCGTGTCGCAATCTCAATTGCAACACATTTACATGGCAACCCGTTTGCTTGAAGATCGAGGCCACTTCATTTATTTTGAATGCTCATACCTTAAATTTTTTCATAACAAAACGAACTTAGCGAAGTTAAAGCGAAAAAAGTTGTTCTAGCATAAAATTGATTATCCGCATATATTTCTCTTTAAACTCCAAAACCGTTAAATGCTTTCCAATATTGGCTGTAATATTTAAAAAGTATAAAATGCAAAATAATTGACCAATTTTCATTTCAATTTTCAATTTTTTAAAGATTTCACACACTAACGCACACTTTTCTCTTCTTCTCTTTCTCTTTTTACGTCTCTCCCCCCTTCGTCAGATATTCACGCGCCAACACCGTTCGCTATCAGAGCGACCCCTGTGAGGGCGTTTGCATGCTGAATCATTACTGCGCCATAACGCGTGTGGACTACAAAGAATTCCGCCAGTGCCTGGAGAAGGAGCAGAGTGCGCTACGCTCTCATGCGCCCGCCGCGCACACCGCGCTCGCTGGGGCCTGTCCGATGCTGGTGCTGATGTGTGCATTGCTGGCATCCTGCTGTCGTCAGGCTGCTGCACTGCTGCCCAAACTTATTACACGCATGAAACGGGAACAACAAAAGCGACAAAAACGGAGGCAACCTTTTGTTGAGAAGAAAGAACGACAAATTGAATTCGCAGCATTGATGCTGGCGATGGCAATGACAATAACAAGAACGACAACAGTGGGAGCAACAAACAGAACCACAACAACAACAAGCAAGTCCATGGCCATAATAACGGCGATGTTATTAAATGCGAGAACAGCAGCATTTGCTTTGCTACTCGGAATATTGTTGATGTTGCAATATGCGCTGGAGCGCAGCAGCAATTGTTGCAAGCACGCCAACGCCACCAGCACCAACACCATCTCTGTCCGCGCACCTACGCAAGGACTTATGCTGGGCCAAGTGTGTGCCAAAATGACAACAAATAAAATGGAAATGGAAAATTTTTGCATGCAACGTAGAGTGTTGCCACCAAATGGTGCCATTGGGGGCATGCTGCGGCTGCAGGGCAATGCTGAGGTGTTATTACAGCAGCCAGTCGCTGCCGCCGCATTCAACCGCCACAGCTTGTGCTACAACAGCTTTAATGTTATCGCTGTGGCAGGCACTGTGGCAGTTTCCACAAATAGCAACAGCAGCAATTACGTCAGCACCAACAACAACAATGGCAACAATAACTACACCAAAACTAGCACCACCGATAACAATGGCATGCTGCTGCAGCTGCAGAAATCACAGCGACAACAACAATGTGAGTGCCTCTATCTGTCTCAGTATCTGCGTCTGCGTCCATGTCCTGGTGCAGCGCAAGGAAATGCTGCTGCTGCTTCTGCTGCTGCTGCTGCTGTTGACAATAACAATGGCCGTCGTGCAATAATTCCAATTTCGACTGTGCAACAACAACTACAACATCAATTGCCACAATGCAACTGCGTCAATTATTATTGGTCCACATGTCTGGTGTGGCAATATCTTTGTTGTTGCATATATTTACGTTTCATAATAAGCTGTTTGTGGCTCTCTGCAAGCAGTCCGCTTCGTGGTCCAACAGGTACTCCTCACAGCTCTACTAATGCCACCACCTCGAATGTGAGCTACGAGAACGATGCAGCCGTTGAAGTGCGGTCTCCAGCCTTCCTTTGCACAGCCCTTCAGCTGCATCGGCGAGCGGGCTCAAGCAGCGCCGCACATTAGTATGTGTGCGTCGTTTTGGTGGTATCGCTTCAAGGCCTCCGCTTTCTTATTAAATTAAGTATTTACCGTAATTGTGTGTTTATTATTGAATTAAATGATATTTAAGATATTTAAGGTTATGTCTTGGGAGCGAAAAAGTGAATTGAAATTATGTGTATGTGTGTGAGTGTGTGTGAAAATAGAGTAATAAAATATCATGCTAGCTCCTGAATGAAATCAGCCCAAAGAAGGCTTTAATGAAATTGAGTTAAAAATTGTTTTTATTTGAATTTTCACAAAAGATTCACCCGAAAATGATTAAAATTAATTTTTTTTTAATAATTTTTCAAATATCAGTGGTATTAATATAAATCATTATTTTCACTCACTTTGAAGAAAAAAACTGATAAATTTTATTTAGTTTCCCAGATCTCTTTCATATACAATAAAAACAGACTAAATCTTTCTAAAAAATTAAACAACTATTTTCAAAATTATTTCTTCAATTAAAATTGATTTTGCTAAGTTTTTAATTTTAGTAGAACTAACTATTTTCTAAAGAAACATTTTATTAAAATAATTTAATTTTCTGTATTTGATTAAAAAGGTGGCGACTCTGACTCAAACTGTTTCACACAAATTATGATTCCTTCTCTAATAAGATTTCCGCTATTTTTTAATTAATACAATAAAGTTGGCTCCGTTTAGATTTTGAAAAAGTTGGTAACCCCGTCTAAAAATACTAATACTCCTAACATAAGGTTCGGCTTTGTTTCGTGCTCAGATTTTTTCGTTTCTTTATCTAGGCACCTAATGCATTTTTTAAAACTACAAGTCTGTTCTTATATATTTTTTCAAAGAGATCTGGGAAAATTAATAAAATTTACCAGTTTTTTTCTTTAAAGTGGTTGAAAATAATGATTTGTATAAATACCACTGATATCTAAACAATTATTAAAAAAAAAAAAATAATTTTAATCTTTTTCTGGTGAATCTAGTGGGATCCTCTAACCTAACTTAACATACTTAACGTAAATATCACTTAGAATTCTTTGGTTTTCTATATACCCCAGAAAAGGCTTTACTGAATTTCAGTTCATAGTAATTTTAATCGGAATTTGCACCAAAAAAAAACTCACCAAAAAATTATAAAAAAAAGAATTTTTTTAATAAGTGGCAGCATGCCTCCAAATTTTGTGCATCGAAATTCTTCTAAATCATTGTTTTTTTGTCTCTTTTTGATAAAAATATTGGAACGTTTTATTGACTTTCCCAAAATTAATTTTAATTCGTAAACAAGTGTTTATTACTTCTTTAGCGAAATATGAAGTTTTTGAAGTGAATTTTGAAGAGATGGCAACACTCTAGAAAATATTTTCTATCAGCTTAAAGCTTTCATTATACACCTTTCTATTCTGTCTAGATGTTTATATTTCTCAATCTATGTTCATATACTAAATATGCTCATCTGTAAAAAATACAAATTTAAACAGCTCCCAACTCGTTCTTAAAATATTTTCACAAAACTTGAAGTTTTTTTTTTTTGAAATATTTAACACACTGCAGAGGTTTTAATTTTTCCATTAACAGTAAAAAAATGTATTCATTGCATACAGATTTTCAACAGGTGGCAACACTTTCAAAAATTTTTGGTTAGCATTTTTTCTTAAACTCTTCAAATTAGGCATTTATTGAAATTATAATTTTTTAATTTAGTTAGCTGTGTGTATTAAAATTGTTAATCTCGAGGTGGCTATTTTTAAAGTATTTTAAATTTAGTTGTAAAACTTCGCACCGTGTGAGTAAGAAAAAATAATCTAGACCCTCTAGATATAGCATATTTCGTCGACTGTCTTTGGCTTGCTGGCATACACTTTACTTTTTAAATAGCTTCGAAGAAAAGAGTCAGGTACTGTTTAATCTGGAACACGAGGCGGCCACTCCAAATCACAATTCTTCATTAAATGAGCTTTGTGCGCGCTTTGTTTTCACAACTAAACGATTATTGGCAATGTGAAGCGCTACGATTTCAGCGCGTGTATATGGCGCATCCTTATTTTTTACGTATGGCATCGCTTTTAAAAATATAATTGTCACTTATACTTTATTGATCATAAGCATGTCTAAGTGGATATTGTTGTTCCAGGTGGCGACCCTTTTTTTTAAATTTACGATTTCCTTTATATATCTCGGTAGCTCACTAATACTATAACTACATTCTAATTTAATCACTTCTATTATATAAAAAATAATTAACTCTCCCCAAATTTTTTTTAATCTAAATTTTCTTTTATCAGTTTTATGCCACAACCAACAACCTTACTTACATTTTAAACCGGTTATTTTAGTAAAAAATTTCTTTTTTTTTAAGAATTTCTAAGTTGAAAAAAACCAAATTGAATATAAGGTTTAATATTTTTATTGCTTATAAATAAATGAAAAATGTCAATATAAAATAAAAGAATTATTTAAAATATTTATCCATGCTTAAGAATGTGAATGCCGTATGTAAGTATGTATGCATGTAAGTGAAGCGGAATAAAAAGGTATTAAGACGAATGTGAATGAAATTATGAAGTGATTATGAAAATGTTGCTATGCTAAAAGTCAGCTTTTTGAAAGATATTAGTGATATAATTAGATTAATTATTAGCAGATATTAGCGGTATTTAAATGAGATTTAAGCAAATAGATATTTAGTTATAAATATATTAATATGAAGGCAGCAAAAAAGGCTGAGCGTATTAACTGTGTTGTAAGTAATAAATTATATTAAACCAAATTCATTAACACAAATACCAACGCAATGCTCTGTATATTATATATGTGTGTATTCATACAGCCATACATATATATGTTGGTATGTAAATGTCTAGATGTGCGATTATATTTATATTCCTAGTTATACATTAAATGAATATATGTATGTAAATAAATTTAGTATATAGTATATACATACATATATACATATATATAAAGTAGGTAAATAAATGTTTGACATATATTATATAGGTATGTACAATATATTGTGAATATTTACGTATGTTTGTATAAAGAAAAATAAAATAAATGCGTTTTTTTGGAATTTTATTTACTTAATTATTTTTGTTTTTTTTTTATCCGAACGAAAACAAAACAGCCTTTGTAAATAAAATTTGTCATTAAAAAGCAAGTGTGTGAATGCAATAAAATTTTTATTTATTTTTTAATTACTTTAAAAGTGCTAAGTAAAATGAAAAAATACAATGAATCTTACATATGTACGAGTACTTATTCATATATATATAGATGTTGATATTTGCATAATAATTTCCCAAAGAGTACTTTTCACAACAAAAAATTGCTAAAAAGCGAAAAAGCAAATGTAAATATTTACCTTAATTGCATATAATGTAAGTGGGAACGAAAAAAAAAATTGAAAATAAATATATGCATAAAATGAAAAAAAAAAAAACAAAAACAAATAAATAAATAAATATGTACTTAGGGCATACAAAATTATATACTAGTATAAATGTATTTAACTGTACATACATACTACACATGGAGGAAGTGCAACAGAAGAGTTAAAAAAATAATAATAGAATTGAAGAAAATAGAAAAACAAATAACGCAACTAAAAACTGCTGATTACTGTTTGACTTTAGTGCTGACCTGAGTGCGTTTATTGAACTTGATAGAAAACAAAAAAAAAAAAACAAAAAATAATAAAAACTTAAAACAAATACAAAATAAATATAATAAAAAGCATGTAAAATGAAAGGATAATTAAGCATTCATAAATAAATTATTACATAAATTATATAAATAAATACTATTTGTCTCAAATGCGTATAAAATGTGTTTATTTATTTAACTTTTGGCCTTTTTTAAGCAAAGCGACTATTTAAAGTTGTTCAAGTAAGTATGGAAAAATAGTAGTAAATTTTTTATTTCAGATCTAAGGGGAGAACAACAAAAAATATTTGTTTTAAATTTTATTTTACCAAGCTCTAAAATGATATTGTTTATGTGACCAAACCGAGCGAAGAAAGAAATCAACAAATAACCCCACAGCAAAAAAAAAGTGATCGGAAAGAGAGATCGCTTAGACCGCTACATCAATACTATATGGAAGTCTAAGCCAATAGCAAAAAATAACACTGAGAAAATGCAATTAAGTGCTACTAATGATAAAATTAAAGAACCATTAAGTATTTATTCTCTTAACTAGGTGATGGCCATAATCTATACTTAAAGGGTACTCCCACGATTAGTAAAACCTGACGTCCATTCATTTACTTACGCCAAAATTGCTTGGATATGTTCGTAAATAATCATACAAGAGTTATTGGCCCAAGCAGTTTTCATGTATTGGTTTTTAGGAATAGTAATATTGGCCGGACAACAAACCAAGCTAGCAGACGCTGAGAAAGTTTCATGAGAGTTGTAATTATTAGCCGAGTAACAGTAAAACAGACCTTTGAAAAAGCGGATTTTAATATAAAATTTGCAACTATTGGCAAGTTGCCTAATATTTTTAATTGCGGACGCCCTTTGGACGTGAGTCTCCAGCCCTCTACTAACTGAAGAAGGAGCTTAAAAAAAAAACAAAGTACAAAGCAACTCAACTAAGGTAAAGTCAGACGCATTCAATCTATGACTTAAAACAGGGTAACAGTTACAGATTCACACAGAGAAATAGTTAAATTTAATGTACCAACTGCCAGGAATTTGATCGTACTAAATCCTCTAGCATGCTTTTCAGGTATACATCCTCTTGTCTAAGAAAGATGATGTCACCATGAAAAATTTATAATATTAATAATGCTAATTATAGAAGTGACAAAAATATCTGGTCAGTGACTGTAAACCTAACCGACACACTTTGTGTCAATTCTTGAGTAGTCACATGAATGTTAACTCATTAATGATTATAAGTAAAAATAATATTGATGAACATATCAATAAGTTTAACAAGATACTCGCCACTCCTGCAATACAAAAACATCGCTTGGGGAGAGATGACAAGAATATCGCTCCCTCGCCTCAAAGTTGCGGCTAAAATCAGCAAAGACAAAACTGAAAAACGTGCAGAAACAAACAACAGATCGTGACGTAAAAATATATCTTAATATATAAGAAACCCGTGTCCGTGTGTAAGTTCTGACATTACTCAAAAGGGGTCAACTGATATTCATGAAAGTTGACATATATTTGTCAAGTAAAAAGTTCGATCGATTGTTTTTATCTAAGAGATGGCGTTATTGTCCATTGTTAGAGTTTGTCTTTGACAGTACGTTGTGAGCGCTCGTCAAAGATG